CTTGTATGCTTCATTGTTCTTGTATATACCACACATCTACATCTTACAGGACTTTTGCAGAGAGCAGTGGTGGCTAATTCTGGTTTTATCAGGACACTTGTGGATATAATTCTTTGCTGAAGTCTCTCGGCTCCAGGGTCTTATTTCATAGCTGAAGCCAAAGCAACATTTTGGGCTAGAAGGAAGCAGGTGTTCCCCATTTTAGAATTTCAGAGGAAGACTCTAAGAACCATAAATATGTATAGATGGGAGCTGATTGTATGGGTTTACTTGCCATGTGCTCTTGATATGCAACTATACCTATGAGAAGAAATGTGAATTTGGAGACCTGGAGATTCTTTCTGGACAGATGATCCTGAATAAATTACTAATCTTCCTGAGGAGGTCTCATAAATAAATTAAAGACTATAAAACCTGCCATCATTAATTTTGCAGATTTCCAACTCTTCTGAAGATTTCATGTATGGAAAAAGTATTCTAAGCCACTAGCTATGGTAGTAGTGCCTTCATTGTGTCAATTTCTCCTTTGCTGGGCTACCTGCTCTGCAGGCAGACCTCAGATTCAATACAAGGGAGGGTGCCTGGCAGGACAAGGCTGCTTCTGTCCTACAGACCCAGGGGTTCTATTAAGATCAGTGAGATGAGGCTCAGATACAGAAATTTGACATGAGGATATTCTGTCGTGGGGGTGGGGGCGATCTTATTCTCAGAAATAAGGTGAAAGTCTAGATACTCTGAATCCAAGTTCAGAGTTGGTACTTGAAGATGTGAGTGAGAATGTCTCTGTGGATATAGAGAGAAAGGATGTGGAGCCTGGTGATGCTGCCTGGCTGTGATGTAAGGAACTGAGGACCAGAGAAGCAAAGTGACATCACTTTCCAAAGTCACAGTCCTTGTTAGCAGCAGATCTAGGCTTAGAGCCCAGTTCATGTGATTCTCCCAGTCCAGGGGTAAAGTGTTCTGACTGACTAGGGTTTACATACAGACTTCATCAGTGCTCTCAGTTTCTCTGCCCTGGGGACAGTTATGGGGTGTGTTGTGGGACTGAGCAGTTAAGGAGGAAGCATCTTTTGAGAGCAGACGTGCATTTTTCTATTAAATATTGAGGGGTTCTTGTGTACGATTTTGATGGAAAAATCTGCCGCTGAAAGACAGCTTGATGATGACGTTGACAATGACGATGACCATGACAATTTCTATTCTTCTCTGGAGAGCTGGAGAGCAGAAAAAACAAATGCCTGGAGTTCCAAAGCATGACAGCAGCACAAAAACATCCATCAGAAGAGGGAAAGTTCTCCATGAAGGGTGACCAGACAACACCCAGGAAGAAAGAAGTGTGTCTTCAGCGAGAGATTTCATCAGGAGCTATGGCGTTTTAGATTCTCGGAAAGTTGGAATAACTGTATAGATGTATCTCATTGTGATATGCCCTTTAGGAAATCAATATAATTTATTGTGCCTCTTCGGGGCCCATTTTATATACTTTGAAGTCCAGAGGACAGAATAAAGGAACAGAAATCCATTTAAGCTAGCACAAACAACAGAGGGTGTGCTATATTTTTAGACCCCAAGGACAGACAATGCAGGGCATCTCAGTGGAATCAGAAACTCAGGAGCAAAGGTTGTTATCTTTGCTTTGCAAGGGCTTTTGTGGCCTCTCCAGGCCTCATGGTCTCGCTCTTCTCTGCTTTTCTCCTGCCTCTGTCTTTTCTACTTGCTCATGTTGCAACTTGACTGGCAGGCCAATTCCATGACATCACTCCCTAACTACATTATTTGTGTGCCTTCGGTTGGACATTTAAGAGACTGACTCTGATGGACTGAGCACGGTCTACAGAATGATTTTCCGTGAGTCAGTTGCCAGTCTACTTCGATGGGGGAGGAGGTGGTGCCGTGGGTCATGACAAAGGACTGAGGGCTACAGGGTGTGTCACCTTGAATGGGTGCAGGTGGGGAGGCGACAGTTGGTATCTCCACCTTAGACATTCGTGGTGACCACAATAACACTGTAATTTGGGGGTTCCCCAGGCTGCCACACAGTGTGCTGTTCATGGCTGTACCCCCTTGAGAAGCTTTTATGAGGCTACTGCAAATGTTTTACCATTTCAGTGGTCACATTCCCTTGCAGCCCTGAGACCCCAGTACCTTCTGGGATGTGCAGTCTTTAAGCTTTCTAATAATAGAAACGATATTCTTACAAATGGAGTCTCACTGGCTGGTCAAATGACATTGGTCAAAGGAGAACTCAGAGAATGCCTCCATTTGGCCCTGCATTTTACAAAAGCTTCCTTGTGGTGGCTGAGAGTGGACTCAGGAGTAGTTCTCCCAAATTCTAATCCTGACCCTGCCATGCAGCAATCATATGGCCTTGAACAAGTGATTTAGCCTCTCTAAGACTTAGTTTCCCCATTTGTGAAAAGCGCACAATACAACATTCTGGGGGTGGTGAGGAATCTGTTCTGAAAGCACTCTCCCTAGAGAGTGCTCAGTAGATGTCACCCACGATCGCCACTGCTCTTGTTAATCTCCCTTTCACGTCTTGCGGACCTAAGTGAACTCAATGACTTCCCAGCAGTCCTCCCATCTCTGCCCTGATTCCTTCCCCAGACCTTTGCACGTCCTAAGAGTTAACGAGTGCTTGGTGGTTAATCAACTGACTTTTGTAATGTTGCAGTTTGTGCTCCAAATCAAAGATGGAAAAGGATGCGTAAGCCCTGAGACCTTGACCTGAATTTGAGTGATTTGGTGAGTACCTCTTTCAGACCTTCCTTTTAGATGATTTGCATATGCCCTTCCTCTGAAATAAAGAGAAGACCCCAGATGATTTCTCCAGTTTCTTTTTTTTTTTAAATTTATTTATTGAATCAAAATTGATTATACATATTTTGGGGATTCAACATTGAGACATGTTGATCTAGCATATATATTGTTACAAATTGTACTTATTCTTTATGCACCTTGTTCAATCTCTTCCCATCCCCCTCTCCTTCTCCCCTCTCTCCTCTAATTACCCTAGATTTCTTCTCTCCTTCTGAAAGAACAATGGTTACTCTGTTGATTTGTTGCCTAGATGATCTGTCCAATGCTGAGAGGTGTGATCAGGTCCCCCAATATTATCGTAGAGCAGATGCTTCTTCTGTCACTCTGAAATGGGCTTTTTGGAGAGAGACATCCTCTTCTTTTCTTTATCTCTGCTGGTGACTCTCCTTGTGTCAATGTACTCCAGTGGCTGGCAGACCATCTGCTTGGTGGTTGTGGTGTCTAGCTGCTTTCACGGCAGCCATGGTTATTGTGGTGGCTGTGGTGGACCACCCACATGGAGGTGATGTTTTTGGCATGCTCCTTGGCACTGGCAGTGTGCCTGGTTGTGGGGTGTGTCTGGTCCCCGTTTCCATGCCTTGGGTCACCAGGTAGGCCCTGAGGTGCTGGCACAATGTGCCTGGTTGGGGGAGGGGGGTCCAGTCCCCTTCTGCATGCTTTGGGTCCCCAGGAGGGCCCAGAGGTGCTAGTGCAGTGTGCCTGGTTGTGGGAGTGGGGGGGTCCAGTCCCCAGCTCCAAGTCCTGGGCCCCTGGGTGGGACCACGAGGTATTGGTGGTGTGCCTGGTTGTGGGTGGGGGGTCCGGTCCTCAGCTCCAGACCTTGGGTCACTGGGTGGGCCATGAGGCACTGGTGTGGTGTGACTGGTTATGGGAGGGGTGTTTGGTACCCGGCTCCATGACTTGGGTCCCCAGACAGGCTCCGAGGAGCAGGCATGGTGTGCCTGGTTGTGGGAGGGGGGTCCAGTTCCTTTCTCCATGCCACGGGTCCCTGGGGAGGCCCTGGTCACTGGTGGTGCGCCTGGTTGTGGAAGGGGGGTCTAGTCCCTGGCTCCATACCTTGGGTTCCCATGCAGGCCCCAAGGTGCTGTGCCTGGTTGTGGGAGTGTGGTCCAGTCCCTGGCTCCAAGCCTCCAGTTCCCAGGCAGCCCCAAGGCACTGGTGGTGAGCCTGGGTGAGAACTAATTTTTTGTCCTTTGCTTACTTCTAAAATGGGGGACCTTCCTGTGAGAACCAGTATATGAAGTCCATGGTTGAGCTAAATTGCTGCTGTGCTGCTGATTCCCTAGGGAAGGCTTTTTGTGCAGCTCAGGGTTTAATGGTTGACCTTAGAGGTACTTCCCACTCTGCAGAGACCAAGTGGATCTGGGTTGTGTAGAAACTGTGATCTGGGCCTGAGTTTTTCATCAAATTGCACCCCATGCAATTCTGCATTCCCAACCGGTTTCCTCTGAGTGGTCCTGTGCTGACTGGGGGGCAGATCAGCTGTCCTTGCTGTGCCCCTGTGTTCTCCCAGTGGGCCTGTCTCCCCCACTGCCCATGCTCCAAACACTTCCCATGGGACAGGCCCTGCACCAGTCCCTTGCGCTGACTCACCGGCCTCTGAATGGTTCCTTTTTTTCCATTGTTCTGGCTCCTCTAACCCTATTAGTGGTCTTGCTGTCCTGGGGGCCACCAAGGCCCTCTTCTCCCCTGCCACCTCCAAGCAACTCCATCCGAAGGGCACAGCTGCGGCTTCTGCCTGCTCCTGCTCCATGTGCTCAGCAGCTCAAACCTTAAAGCAGCCATGGCACGAATGCTTCGAGCAGTATTTTGCTTTTTCTCATCATGGTTTCTCCTGTCTTCATTAACTCCATAGGTCTCTCCTCCTCTTCCACTGAGCTCCTGCGGCCCCAGCTTGGCTGATGTTACATTTTTATAGTTGTAAATTTGTTGATTTATGGGAAAGTGTGACACTGCAAACTGTCTATTCCACCATCTTAACCAGAACCCTGATTTCTCCAGTTTCTTTGATCCCTGTCAGTACTATCTAAAATTATCATCCTCTATACCTGGGGATGATCGTGGGGTCTACTCCTTGAGACTGTACACAGGATCAGAGAGCTGGAAAACCGCCCCAGAAGTTTCAACACAGATTCACCCTTTCTTGTTCTTTCCTCCTCCAGGAGCCTGCCTTGAAGATCATGAACTTGTCTTCTGAGCACTGCAATGTATCGGACTGGCTGAGGCTAGAAGCAACAGTGAAGGCCTCTGTCTATGTGGTTGCTTTCTCTTTTGCCATGTTCATCACTGTCATCATTATTGTAATAGTGTCACAGAATTTGACACTGAGGAAAGAGGTCCGATACATCCTCCTTTGCCATCATCTGCTGTGCATCTCCTCCTACTGTGGCCTGGGGATTGTTTTCCAAGGAATGCAGGCCCTGCTGGCTGACAGCCCCCTGCTGATCTGCTGGCTGGTGTTTGGGGCACAGATAAGTGCTGGAGAAGGGATTCTCTTCACTCTGGCCTTGATGGCTCTCAACACTTATGTGGTGATCTGCTGGCCACTGAAATCTCTGTCTTTTGTAGATTCAGTTAAGTATAGGGTTCTGGCTGGGACCTGGACAACCATCATACTCAAGAACATCTCCTTATTCCTCATAGAGGGCACCTACCCCAGTACGGTTGCCATTTTAAAATCTGAACCCATCTGCCCCGTGATCTTGAATGGCACTCCTGCCAGAGCCATTAGCATGGTTTTCCTTTTCATTCTTTTGTCTGTCATCCTTATAAGTTACTTTCTGATATACCAAGAAGGGAAACGGGCTGGCCATTTTAATAGGTCAAATGTCAAAGCAAGGAAAACTGTCCTTATCCATTTAGTGCAGATAAGTTTACATGTAATACCAACGCTGCTAGTCGTAGGTTTGGGGAAGAAATGTGGAGTGTTTTTCTTTGCTTTAAATTGGGTGCTTTTCGGTGTCTTTGCATTTGCCCACTGTTTTAACCCTCTGATCTATGGGCTCCAGAACAGAGAGCTGCAAAGCAGATTGCACCGTTGGAGGTGCTGTCAGCTGTGCTGTGCTCACACAATGAACAGCAAGGGGGCCAGGTTAGCCAACACTTAGCCATTCTGAATCGGTAACTCTAGTCCTAGTGCAACATCAGCTAGGGTTGAGGACCTGCCTTTACTCAACCTAAAACAGATGCCTTGATTTGATTTTGAAAGTAATATGAGTAAATCAAAGTGATTCTTCTGGCCCACAAACTTCACTACTGCGTGCACTCAATCAGCTTCACTGAAATCATTTTAGTGTTTTTAATTCTAAACCCAGATCAACATTTTTGGTAGCATGACCAACTGTGTCTGAGTAATTAGGCAGCTTTTGAGAATGCATTTTTTTTTTCGGAACTGAGCAATAGTCCATGGTTGATATGAAGAGAAGTTTGGCTATTCTCCTTATGTTAATTAGGGGTAGTTTTGGCCAAATATCATGACAAAAACAGCAACCAAATAACTTCAAATAGTTCAAATTAATTAAATAACTTCAAATAGTTCAAATAACTTCAAATGACTTCAAATAGTTAGTGCCTGATTTCTTTCTTATGTAAAAGAAATCTGGAGGTATACAATCCAGGGCTGTGTGGCAGCTCTGCAGTCAACGGGCTCATTCTCTTCTACCCCGCCATGATTAGTGTGCTACCTCATGACCCATGATAGCTGTCAGTGCACCTGTCATCACAACCACACTCCAACCAACAGGAAGGGGGAGGAAGCAAAGAAGGGCCTGTACCCTCCTTCTAAAGACACTTTCTAGAAGTTGCACAAAACACTTTTTCTTACATCTGATTGGTGAAAATTTGGTCACATGGCTATGCCTACCTTTAAGGGAAGGTGAATAAGTTTTAGCTGGGTAGCAGTGTCCCCAGCTAAAAATTGGCATTCTTAATCCTAAAAAGGAAGGAAGAATGGGCATTGGGAGGGAAAAATTATTTCAAGGACAATTTTCCTCTCAACCAAAAGTATAAAAAAAGACAATGGATGGGTTATGATCACCACAAACATATACAGAGCATATGATATATGATATATATTTCAATATGATATACAAATACAGAGTTAACTGTTCAGGATCCCAGGAAACTAACTGTGTTATGTCAACAGCTTTCAAACAGAATGACGTCAGTAAGAAGAACACAAAACTGGTTTACACATGGGAGTTAACTCATCATTTCAATCTAAGCACGTTGTAGGCAGCAGGATGAAATAAATTCTTTCACAGAAGCTTACATGTGATATTTCTTTAGATAAAACATCCATTTCTTTTCTTTTTTTTTTTTTTTTGGCTTTTTTTGTGACCGGTAAGTGGACCGCAACCCTTGGTGTGGGGTCGCCAGCACCGCACTCAGCCAGTGAGCGCACCAGTCATCCCTATATAGGATCCAAGCCCGCGGTGAGAGCGCCGCTGTGCTTCCAGCGCCACACTCTCCCGAGTGCGCCACTGGGTCGACCCAAAAACATCCATTTCTTTTCTTTTTTTTTTTTTTTTTTCCTTTTTTGTCTTTTTTCGTGACCGGCAACGGATCGCAACCCTCAGTGTTGCGCCCGTACCTCACTCAGCCAGTGAGCGGCCGGTCTGTATGTGGGATCCGAACCCTCGGCGGGAGTGCCGCTGCGCTCCCAAGCAGCGCACTGTAGCAGTGCGCCACCGGGCCGGCCCCAAAAACATCCATTTCTGAATCGGTCAGGATTGAGTTCTAGAAACTGGAATCGTCACTCTAGGTGGTTTAAGCAGGAAGGATTTAATACAGGAGTCAGATGCTCACAGAGGCACTGGGGGGGCTGGAGGAGCAGAACTGGGGCCCCCACCGGTTAACGTTAAGAGCAAACCTCTGCACCTGTGATGCGGAGACCAAACAGCTGCACTTCCACAGCCCCCAGCCCCTGCTGCTGCTTGTCACTCACGTGCCTCTTCCTTCTTCCCTCTTCCAACATTCACATGATTGCCTCTAATTGGTGGAACTTTATTGGCGTCCAGAACCCTACAAGCAAAGGAGTCTGGGAAATGTAGTTCTCAGTTTCACAGATTTGGCAGTGTAGAAAGTGACCCCCAAAGGAGAGTGAAGTGAGGATTGTATGAGCCAAGCCCTGGGATCCTCCATTACTATGCATTGTTTTATTTATAGACAATAACAACAACAACAGATACCATTTATTGAGCAACTATTGTGCTCCTGACATAGGCAAGTTATTCGACGTCAAATCCTCCCAATAATTTTATAACATGGATACAATTATTCCTGATTTAAAATGAGAAAAGTTGAGGCTTGGACAGGCCTTCTATGAGCTTAGGTCAGGATCTTCCCTTTGTCATTTGCCATGTGTTTTATTTGGCCCAGGGTGATCATTTCTTCACTGCCGAGAGCTGGATCAAGTGCTTGGGAAATTCAGCCCTCGAGTCTCTGCTTTGTGCCGGGTGTGGCTCCTGGAGAGTGGGAGAGAGCCTCTTCCTTACGCGCTGCTGCGACTACGCTCTCCCATCCTCCAGCCTCCCTTGTCTTCAGATTCTCGGGGCTTCTGTGTCACACCTCTACTCCACTTTGGTTCTGCGTTCTTGCCTGCTCTCCAGGTGTTCAATCTAAGTCTTGCCTCTCGTTCTTCCAACCCCAACGCTGACCATTCAAAGCCTCACCTTCTCTTTTCCAATGCTCCAGTGTCTTTCCAGGGCAGGCACCCAGCAAATGATGAAATGGACCCATCAACTAGTAAGACGCACTTTGCTCTGAAACCCCTCCCCACAAAAACCAAGCTCTCTGTTTTTGTTGAAATACTAAGCACTCAGAGAGCAAAGAATATCTTTGTACTCCAGAAAGTGAAAGAAAAAGTAAAGTTTACCAAGCTTAAGTCAATTGTAAGTCCTAGATCTAATGTAAACCATTTGATTTATCCTTAAAATGTTTGAAACTCTATTTCTGATATCAAAAGGTGACTTCTGCTTATAACATTAATTGAGTGTTAAATGGTCATTTTATATTTTCAAATGCAATTATTCTTTTAAATACATTTTTTTGGAATTGGGAATCTAATTAGTATAAAATTCAGAAAGTTCAAAATGATATTTAGTGGAAAGTCAGTCTTTCTCCTTCCCAGGTTCCCACCTTTCTTCTAAGAGTTAACTGTGATCACTTTTTGTATGTGTTTTCCTCAAGAAATGATCTACAGAGGGCAAATTACAGAGGATTTCTCATTTTTAAGATAATTTTGGTTTCGATATCATAGATTTGGATTGGAAAGTTGTTTAAATTGGTATTTAGAATAATAGTTTATGTCATGAATAATAGTTCATGACATCAGCAGTAATCAATTTATGATGTGAAAATTCTTTGCTCCCCCAGGGAACCTTAAACTTGGGCAAGATGCAGAAGGAAAGGGGAGAGAGGAAGTGGTGGCTAAAGTTACTTGCAATTAGTTGAGGGTTCTTGTAAAATGCTCTTTCCCATGTAAAAATGGTGCAATGATATGGAGTTTAAAGCCAGAAAATGTGGGGGGTTGGGGCAAATGTTCAGAGAAGATACACTTTACAAATAGCTCTAAGACAATAAATAACTTAAGAAAAAAATGTGTATTATCTCAAAATTCCCAAGTTCTTATGAGCATTTCATTTACCCTAACTGCAACCACTTTATTATTGCATGAAATGATTTCTGACTTCCATGTAGATAAGCTATAGAACCACATTGACTTAAGAATAAATGTGGGCAAAATCTCTAAAAGCAAGACAGAAAAGTTGTTCATAATACTCATCACAAGAAAATGTTGAATGAATCCAGGCCATTGTTTAGAAGGTGTTCAAGGCTGTAAAATCAGCCACACTGGTGGATTTTAAGCCTTTTTTTCTCTGAGAAGAAGATCAAAGTCTCTGGCTGGAACTGCCTGCCTGATGGTCAAGCATAGACATATAGGAGGGGGCTTCAAAAAGTTAATGGAAAGATTGGTATTGTTTTTTAATTATATTTTTTCAGGAACTTTTTGAAGTACCCTCATGTGTGCAATGGAGAGAAAACTGCACATCTACCACTGCTGGGGACGGGGAGAGGATGCCAGAGTGTTCTTATGAGCCAGCAGGACTTACAGAAAGGATCTGGCTTTGGGGCTGCTGGAAAAGACCTGTCCAAAAAAGGCTTTATGCTGAAGGAGAGGGGCCCTCGGCAGAAAGAGGCTGGAGGTTATGGTTGGTAGCAGAGGATGAAGGTGGAGTGAGAAGCACCTGGCCAGAGACAAGAATTGCCCAAGGGTCCAGAGAGATAACGTGAACTGAGGACTCCGCAAAGTGCTATGGAAGAGAAAGAATCATCGTTCGGAAACTGCCCCACCTGGAATATGCAAACAGTGTACTGCGTCTGCCTTTGTGAGGGACAGTCCTTTCTGCCCCTTCCCTCTCCTTCCAACCTCTATCTCTTCCAACTCCAGAGGAGTCACAGGCATCTGGGGTAGGGGAAGCTGATTAGAAGCCTTAATTCCATCTGCAAGCTTAATCCCCCCTTGTCCTACAGGATAACATACTCACATAACATACCTGTGAGTTTCTGGGGATTAGGACATAGACATCTTTGCAGGAGTGGGGGGTGTCATTCTGCCTATCGTGTTTAATAAAATGAGATTGTTCTTTGGAGATGAAAGTGACCACACGACTTTTTTTTTTTATTATTTAAGAGTGACTGGACAAAACGCAAATCAAAACCGCAATGAGATATATCCTCACATCAGCAAGATGGCCACAATCAATGGCAAAGCCAAAAACAAAAACAAAACCCAGAAAATAACAAGTGTTGGCAAGAATGTGGAGAAATTGTAATACTTGTGCACTGTTGGTGGGATTGTAAAATGGTGCCACCACTATGGAAAACAGTATGAAGTTTCCTCAAAACATTAAAAATAGAAGTACCATATGATCCAGCAATCCCACTTCTAGGTTTCTATCCAAAAGAACTGAAAGCAGGGTCTTGAAGAGACATTTACATGGCCTTGTTTATTGACGTGTTATTCACAATAACCAAGAGGTGGGAGCAACCCAGATGTCCACCACTGATGGATGGGTAAACAAAATGTAGTGCATACATATAGCAG